TCCTTCCTTCCTTCCTTCCTTCTTCCCTCCCTCCCTCCCTCCCTTCCTTCCTTCTTCCCTCCCTCCCTCCCTTTCTTCCTTCTTTCCTGATGGGCCCCCACACCATCTTTTAGGAGACTTTCTCTTAATCATCCTAAGTTATCTTGATGATGGTCCAGGACCTCCACATTAGTCATAAAAAAGAATCTCAAGTAAAAGCAGGAGGTGTCAGTAGTTGTGGTCATTTTATTGAACTGGTATCTTGCAGAGGAACACTGTACAAGTCTTGCTGTGACATCACCTGTCAAAGCCACCGTGGAGTCACAACATAGGATGAGTGTAACCATTCATCTCATCTTTGGCCATTGTCAACCCATCTTCTTGTCTCCAGCTGTCACCTGAATTTCACTAACATAACCATAGATACGAAATTGTGAGGCGAATTCTTTTCCATAGCTGTGGAAGGACGATTACAGCCACTAACAATGAAGCTCCTTTGTACTGCAGCCTTTTAGAAATCAGCCACATTCAAGTGTCTCAGTGGTGTGTCCGCTCCTGCCATGCAATTGTCATGTGAGATTTTTATATAAAATATGTAAAATGAGGAATGAGATTCAGAAACTGAAAAAATGCAGCTCCCAGTTATTCTCTGAGCGCAGACAAAGAAAACTAATAAGGCATCAGAGACTTTTTTTTTTTTTTACTGATTGGACAATACTAATAGTTGTTTAATAGAAATTTTCACAGATGTGTTTAGATACTTCTCGATGTAACAAAGTTCTGAAGGGGTATAATCCATCACAAGGGAAGAACTGTAGCTAGTGGCTCCACAGTGGCAGAAGTGTGCAGCTGGGACACCTTACCCCCTCCTCACACCTTGGTGGGACAGGAGCAGACAGGAAACAGGAAATAGGGCTGAGCTTTGAAATCTCAAGACATGTTCTACTGCCCCACTTCCTGCACTGAGGCTCTACCTCCCAAAAGTTCCACAACTTTCCATATAGCACCCCTAAATTGAGAATCAAGTATTCATGAGCCTGTCAATTGCTCATATTAAACCATAAGTGTTAGAGAGCCCATGTTACCTCCCAATGGGGCAGCGAGGAGGGGGGTATCAGCGGTGTTGTAAGAACACTGGAGAGGGCAAGCTAACATCTGGCGATCTGCAGTTAGTGCTAGTCTGTCACTACAGAATGGGGGAGACCCTCAATCTGCCTCTTCCACTGCATCTCGCAGGTCTTGTTCTTTATACTTTATTGACCAAAGAATACACCAGAGTCCTAGCCCTGAAGGCTTCCCAGACCTTCCCAGAAGGACAGCCTGCTCAACAACCTCCAGCCACTTCCTTTTCATCATTGAGTGCTATCAAAACAAGCAATGAGGAGCCAGATCCATGTCTATAGCTCCTATATATTAGTTTCTCCTCCATTGTCTGTTATTTTAATCCACTTATTGTTTGATATATATATATATTTATATACATATATATATATGATTATTTTGATCATATCAACCTCCCTCACTCCCCAACTTCTACAAGATACCCCTTCTAAATTTATATCTTCTTTTTTTTCCCCTCTGTGACCCAATGAGTACAATAGCAGCTGTCCATATGCAATTGAGTGCAAAGCCATCCATTGGAGCAAAAACAACCTAAAACCTGGCAACAATCTGGAGAAAACTGACTCCCTCTGCCACTGAGCTATCAATTGATAGTAGCTCTCAGCCAGAGATGGGCTTCATGATCCCTTCCCCTATTGTATTAGTTTCTTACTGCTGCTAAGGCAAATTATTGCAATTTCATGGTTTTAAATAATACAAATATGTTTTCTTGCTATTGGTGTAATCACAACCTGAAATTAGTTTCACTAGGCTGTAATCAACCTTTCATCAGATCAATACTCCTTCTGGAGGCTCTGTTTAGTTTTGTTTCATTTTTCAAGACAGGGTTTCTCTGTGTAGCTTTGAACCTGTCCTGGAACTCGATGAATAGATCTGCCTGCCTCTGCCTCCCGGGTGCTATGATTAAAGGCAGGTGCCACCACTACCTGGCTTCTTTCTGGAGGATCTGAACAAGAATTTGTTTCCTTCCCTTTTTTGTTTTGTTTTGTTTTTTGCTTGTGGAGGCTACTTGCATCTCTCTCCTGTGGTCCTTTTCTCAAAGCACATTGTCTCAATATGGTGTCCATTGTTATATGGTCCTCTCTCTCCCACTGACTCCTCACCTATTCTCTCTCTTACAAGAGCCCTGTGATTGCAACCAGAATTACCCCCACCTCATGATGCTAAAAAATTATTAGATAAAATTACACTTATTTGATTTCTCTCTCTGTGTGTATATGTATGTGCATATGTGTGTATAGTCACACATGCCACAGCACACATGTGGAGGTCAGAGAAAAATTTCCAGAAGACGGTTGTCTCTCTTTCTCCATGCATATCAGTTCATCAGACTTTAAAGCAGGTGCCTTTGCCATCTAAGCCCTCATGCAAGGAGGGCTTGCATTCTATTGCTATCACATCTGCAAAACACAGATTAGACACAGGTTCCTGGGACTTTATACTTCCATGGGCCTTTCACTGGAAGGAAGCTATTTTGTCAGTCTAGCATACCCTATTTCACATTCTAAATGAGCTAAGGAGTTCTGGAGAGCTGGGAGAAAGTACAGAATACCTCTGCCTGTTAGTTGCAGGGTATGTAAAAGAACCATATATACAGAGGACAAAAATTCTACCCAGACAGTGCTGTCACATACTTTTAATCCCAGCACTCAGGACTTTGAGGCCAGCCTTGTCTACAGAGGGAATTCCAGGGCTATACAGAGAATCCCTGTCTTGAAAAACCAAAACAAACAAAATAAAAAGAGGACAAAGATTCAAGCTGTAGAGAGGTGCAGGTTCATCATAAAACCTAGGATGGATTTGCAGACCTGAGGGCCCA